CATTGTTGTTAAGTGCCATTGAGTTGGGTCTGACTCATAGATAGCCTGTATAGCATTTCTGAGGAGCAGCTGGTGAGTTTCAACCACCAAACTTTGTGGTTCAAACCGACCTATGATCAAGTGCATATACTACAGTGTCACTCCAGTACTCCAGCCATCACATTAGGAGTGAGATAATTAAATGCTTGTCCAAATATAGCAGGCTAATTTTTGAGTTGATCATTTTGTATGGCCCATGAATGATGTTACAAATATCCAAATTAGCCCTTGGCAGAAGAAGTCTTCTCCACCCCTGTTCTAAAAACACATTTCCCTGTAATTATTTACTTTTCTACTTTGAAGAATAGCATGAGCAAGTGTGTCTTGGGAACCATTCTGGCCTAAGACTTCACTAACAAAGTAATAGAAGGATGAGATGACTAAGAATACTGCTTTGGTAAAAGTAATCTTATTTTATACTGTCTGTACCTCACGCAATATTATTTCAATTTGAAAGGAGAAACTAAAAGACATTGCAAACAAACAAACAAAAACATTGTACATAGTTGGCTACTTTATTTGAGCTAGAATGGTACACAGATTAAGATGCCATCTTTCTAGCAGAAATTTGTGGAAATCTGGCAAAGTGATTCAAAAACTAAAAAGTCAGAGATATCCAAATGAGTCACCTAGAAGTTGCCTGTATGTAGGACTTCATTCTTCTTGGATCAACTGTCAACACTCATGGAAGCAGCAGTCAAGAAATTAAACAATGTATTGCATTAGGCAAATCTGCTGCACAAGACCTTTTTAAAGTATTGAAAAGCAAGGATGTCAACTGGAGGACTAAGATCTGCCTAACCCAAGACATGCTATTTTCAATAACCTCATATGAATGTCAAATTTGGACAGTAAATAAGAAAGATCATAGAAGAGTTGATACTTTTGAGTTATGGTGTTGGAGGAGAATATTGAAAGTGCCATGGGCTGCCCATAGAACCAACAGATCTGTGTTGGAAGTAGTGCAGCCAGAGTGCTCCGTACAGGCCAAGAAGGCCAAACATCGTCTCTCAGACTTCAGACATATTGTAAAGGGGGGCCACTCGCTGGAGAAGGGTGTCATGTTTGGTAAGGTGGAGGTCAGAGAAAAAGAAGAGGACCCCAGGGAGATGGATTGGCCAAGTGGCAGCATCAACGGGTTCAAGCTTGGAGACAATAGTGAGGTTGGCCCTGGATCGGGCAGTGTTTTTTCTGCTGTGCATAAAGTCGCTGTGAGTCGATATCGACTTGATGGCACCTAACAACAACAACAATATATTCATAGTTATGTCATTCATATAGTTATATTTCTCAGAACCCTTGGTTTGGTAAACATTCTGCATAGAAATATAAAACTAGGTAGTTTCTGAAGTTCCATGTCTTAATGCTCCATGTATATCAAATGATTTTAATTTATGTGAGCATGCTATCAGTAAAATGAGCTAATTCAGACAATTCCGGAAACAACCTTGAAAACAATAGCAATGTAATTAATACCAGAAGTCTTATGCCATGTTACCACTCCAAGATCACAGATGTTTTGCCTAAGTGATCACACATCTCTTTTTACTGACAACATGCCCAGTCAGATATTTTCATTATGCACCTGAAATAAAATTATGTTTTCTCCACAACACAGATGAGAAATGAGAATAATGAGTTCCAGGATTACAAGCAATCCAATAAACATTTTTACAAACTAGGTTAGAATTCTGAAATCACAATTACATATATGCATATTTAGGTCTCTGATATGGTGCTGTAGGTTAATGTGCTGGACTACAAAGTCAGTTTGAACTGCAAGGTCAGTGGTTCAAGCTCACCAGCCACTCTTTGGAAAACCTGCACAAGGTCAGGACTGACTCGACGGCACTTAACAACAACAAACTAATCTTGTATTTGTGGAGATTTTTACCCTATAAAATTGTTTATACAAGTAGTTCCTGACTTACAAGGTTCTGTTCTGATCATTTGTTTGTGAGTAGACACTTAAATAAGTCAGATATCTGACTTTTTAAAAGTTTTCTGGGCTATTGCCTTTTATTTTCAGTACCTTTAGAAACCCAGCAGTTTTAAACAGTAAATCATAAAATCGAACATCTGTGAGTGAATCTTATATTATTTGCTCGTTATCATTCTAAGACATAATGTTAACATTAAGATGTAAAACAAAACAAAGAAACACATACAGCAGACTGTTACAAATGTGGTTTGTTTTAACTCAAATATATTGTAAATTGCATACTTTCTGTAATTCTACTTTGCTTCCCCACCCCTTCCCCATGTGCATTGTCATTTGACTGTTATTGAAATTATTCTCTGTTTCATGTGAGACCTTCATTTCATACATTTTGACTGTTTTGCTATAAATAGTCTTACTTTGGTGGAAAAGATGTCCAAGAAAAAACAAACACTAGAAACTTTCTTTAAGATTCTTACCTTATTCTGAAATTGGGATTAATTAATCAAGGAAATAGTAATTCCCTATCTCACAAAGAATTCACAAGAATAAGAATGAAGACTCTGGGCAACATGTTCTTTCTCTTTAACTGTTAGCTATAATCATGCTTATCATTTTAGTCTTCACTCTGTTCTCAATTATAGAGTTTATATCCTTTGGGACATTAAGATGCTTCAGAATTTCTTGAGAGAAAAAAAAAAATGTATTCTGTTTTGAGTTCTGCAAGCAATCAATGTGTTTCCATATTTGGAGCATGCATTTATATGACTAAAATTCATTGGGAAATACTGAAACATGTTGGCTTCTTACTGAAACATGTTGGCTTCTTACAGGCAACAACAACAAAAAAAGAAAATTAGATTAGTGTCCTAAACACACTCTGTCTCTAAACCACATTAAAGGAATATAATGATTTAGATTAAACCCACATTTCGCTTCTTATTTTGGGAAACAAAAATATTAATATCAACATTATTAAATAATAAAATTGCCCTGGAGTATATCTCAATCTGATTGTGTTGATTTAAAAATAAATTTGTTTAATGAAACCTTTATTTATTAGATTAGATACAGCATTTTTAGCAATTAATATTCTTAGCAAATATTAAGTGTGGGGGCAGATATTTAATTATATAAAAACCCAAAAAAACTTCTGGAATTAGAAGGTAATGAATAGAAATCCTGTTATTTTATATGTAACAATTTACAAACAAATGGATCTTCTATTTGGACATTTTCTCCTCCTAAGCTCTTAGGTAATTATTGAAAATAGAAGTTTGTCTTAGTTAAGAGAAAAAAGTGTAGTTCATTTAGAATTTAAATAACGGAGTGATCAATAAATTAAAAACAGACCTATGTAGGAGAACTTTGACTGACATTCTTCCTACCCATGATTGGAGTTAAGTGGATTTTGGGCTGGATCCTTGGAGAAAATTCAACCCAGACATTTTTCTATAATTAGCTTTAATTCATTGCTATTTCAGTAACTATCAGCTTTGTCCAATGCTGGCCTTTGGTGAATACACTGTACTGAGAACTTCCAAACATTTATTATCAGACTACTTAAATCAGGTTCATAACAAAGTTAGTCCCGTAAGACCAACCTAGTCTAGACTCATTATACTCCAGGGAAGTCCAAGGACTCTGACAGTTAGGAATATACTAAAGTTACCTTAAAATATCTGCTCTGGCAATTATCTCTATTCATGTTTTTTAAAAAGAAACTGACATTGCCCATTTCTTGTTCTACCTGCCATATCTTATTTATAAACAGAGACTATTCTCAATCAGGCATGCAAAACACACACAAAATTAATATTGCACTTGTGAATAAAAGTATTTTAAATAAATATTTTAATTCTATTGTTGGCATTTACAAGTAGAAAGCATACAGTATGTTACAAATATCAAAATGTGAAAAATATGAATGTTACATAAGTAACAAATGTAAAAAAAGTATTTTCTTACCTTCCCTGAAAGTAAGAAAACTATTCGGCATAGGAAAATATCAGTATCAAAAACACAGCTTAGGTTTAAAAAAAAGATTTTTACACAGTATTAAAAAAAAAAAAAAAAAGGATCTACAAAATGACAGGAAATAATGAAGAGCTGAAAGTTGTATTTGTATAAATTATGAAAACTGGGTACTTGGAATAAATGTTAAGAGGCTGAAAAATAAATCCAATTGTAGGCTTTCTTTAAGTCAATTCTTAAAAATGTTTAAAGGCTTAGAATTTTTTTTTTTCAATAAATAACCTGTAAAATTGTCTCTTAGAAGTGCTACTGAAAGCATCCTCCCACAGTTCAGAAGGTGGAAGTGTTCCGGGGACAGCAGCCAGTCATTTTGTTTCTGTCGGAAAGTCTGGTTAAAGTTAAAAGACCAGAACCATTTACAAAGAGACTCAGAAATTTCAAAACAATTTTGTAAGAAAGTCCTAAAGTGCTGAACAAAATGAATTAACTTTAGTACCCACTGTCATATCGAACTTACTCAAATATTCAAACATTTCTGAGCAACATCAAATATAGAAACTATAATTCTGAAACATGTTAATACTGCTTAGTCTTTCACTCATGGGTAAAAGGACTATTTTCTATCATTATTTTACACTTTACAAAGATTGGTTAATCCTCAGGTATCTTGCAATACAAAATATAATAACAATAATGATACAATGGAAAACAACGCACATATCCCACTGTGAAAACACAAGTTCATTTCTGCAATGATAACAGTATTAATATTAAAGTTCATGAATCAAACATTGGTAAATAAGAAAAAAAAAACTTCAAATGCTGCATGCCACATAGCTAATTACAAAATACAATACATGCAGGAAAATAAATTGAACCAAGCATATTTAAATTAAGATTTGTTTTGAGTCTGTTTCAGCAGCATTGTGGTTATTATTTTAAAAGGTTTACCTCAACCACCAGTCCATACTGGCCTGTTTATCAAATATAACCCAATCTCATCAGCAACCTTATAATGGTTTGAGTGTTTCTTGGTTTAATGTTTTTTATAATGCCAGTACGAAAGTTCAAACATACTGTTCTGCCTCCCCATCTTTGGGATCTGGCTTATTTGTCCCACTTTTGCCTTCTTCATTTGCTGCTGCCTTTTCTGGGAGAGATGCCAAATCTTTAAAAACATCCACGTAATGGCCAAAGCCAGGGCCCCAGTTCAATAGGTTGTCCCAGTTGAAATTCCCTGCTTGCTGCCCAAGTTTCAAGGGCAGTGTGTTGTCAGCAACTCCTGGTGTTGCTGCCTGTGTGCCCACAGGTCCTCCCTCGGCCCTGCGGCCATGGTACCTTCGAGGCTTTAGTCTGGTGCCATAATTATCTTCATCATCTGCATCAGACTCATTGACTTGAGATAATTTGGGCATCCTAGAAGTATATACCATTGGCTTTTCCCTGTCGTATTCCATTTCTGAGCAAGTGAATGACTCATGAGAGTCACTATCTGAAGAAGATTCTGGGGCTGGAATGCCATCTGCTGGATTCCTTGTCCTGGACAGTGGCCTTCTGCAGTCCTCTTCTGAAGAAGACCTTCCATGGTCTGCACTGCAAATACTTGGATTTCTGGGGCGAGGGGTATTCAGCCTCTCCACCTCTTCAATGGAGAGTCCTACTGGAGGAGATGATTCCAGAGGAATCTGCCCAATTGGCTGCTTTAGGCGACTTCCTGGTCTAGAGCCATGTGATGTCATAGCCTGAGGACTCTTGCTCCTCCTTCCCAGCCGTGTGGCATAGTTGAAAATGCCAGGCTGGCAGGCATCACCATGCATTTCCAATGTATTTCCATCCCTTATAGGAAGATGTAATTCCCTTGCTGGACTATTCCTATAGAAAGTAGAGGACTTGGAGAAAGGAGCTGGACTGTGTCGAGACAGAGGATTGGGAGTAGGGCAAGCTGAGTGGCTTAGCGAGCTGGTTCTTAAACCTTGTCCATATGAAGGCTGGTAGGTCAAACTGCTGGCTCCTAAGGGCATGGGGGACTGCCTTGCAAAACCGAGGGGACTATGCCTCTGGATAGAAAATTTAGGGGTGTGGCTGCGGAACTGCTTATAGTGTTGGATGATGTCAGCATCTGAAGGTGCAATGCTACTTGCATTGTCAATATCATAGTGCTCTATTTCTTGCTCTGGTGAAGCCAGAGGGGCACTTGGTATAGTTTCTGAATTGTGGGGAATGTCAGTCTCATCATAGATAAGGTAAGGGTTTTCCCTTTCTATGATATCTGGTTTAGGATTCCCTTCAGGCTGTTTCCTCACAGTCATGTCATCCCCATAGGGGGGAATATTGTCTGGGTCATCAAAAGCAACATTCTCACTTCCCTTTTTCTTCTTCTCCTTTGGTTTCTTCTCCTGTTTGGGACTTTTGGCCTTCTTTCCCCTGCACTGATTACAAAGGATCAGGCTCAGGACCAGAAGGGCTAGGACTGTTGCACAGGTGCCCACGATGGCAGGCACAGCCCACAGAGGCAGGGAAATCTCTTCAGGGCCCTGGCTCAGAATACAGACATGCCCCCCAGAACTTCCAGCCTTGCATACCCTCCCCTGAGGGCAGAGGACACCGAGACATGCCACTACCATTTCACAGGTCTGGCCTGTGTATGACTCAGGGCAGCTACAAGTGAAGCCAGAGTGCAGGCCAGGTTCACAGCTGCCACCATTCTGGCATGGGTGGGATGCGCAATCTCCAGGAGGCACACACTTATATGCATACCACTGATTAATGCACAGTAAATCACCCCAGCAGGGGTTGCTGGCACAAATGTTTGGGCCACGGCAACCAATCTTCACTGAAGGGTCCGTTTTTGAGATGGAGGCCAAGCTATGCTTCCCACTGAAAGGAAGACTTTCTCCTCCATACAGCATCGAAGCAATGCAGCCATCAAAACCTGCAGGAAGAAACAGGAGCCTCTTATCAGAGGAGTAGATGAACCAACCAGATGTGTTCTATTCACACAGTAGAATATTATTCTACCATAAAAGCAATGACACTAGTAAGACAAGGATGAATCATAGAAACAAGGTTACAGTTAAATGTCATCAAGTCAGTTTCAACTCAAAGATGCTGTTTATTATATCAGTGAATGGCTGATGGGTTTGACCCACCATCCTCATGGTTAGTAGTACAGTGCTTATCCTACAGAAGTACATGAGTACTCCATAATTTATAAAAATATTAGGCTGATTAAAATAAGTCAGACACAAAAGGACTAATATTTTGTGACCCCATAAAATACGTAGAATAGACAAATGCATAGTGACCAAAGCAGCTTAGTAGTTACCCAGGGCAGGTGGGAGGGGAAAAGAGGGTGCTACTGCTTAAAGAATCCTGATGTGGTGCTGTACAATAAGCACTGAACTGCTAACCACAAGGTTGGTAGTTCAAACCTATCAGGTCACATTTTGGAAACAAGGTCACTATGAGTCAGAACAGACTTGTTAGCAGTTAACAACAACAACATTGTTTAAGGGAGAGCCCTGGTATGGCACTTTAAAATAAGCACTGGACTGCTATCCAGAAGGTCAGCAGTTCAAACCCACCAACCACTCCTTAGAAACCTTATACATGGTCACTAAGAGTCAGAACCAACGTGACAGCACTTTACAACAGCAATTGTTTAAGGGAAGATGTACTGAGTTTCCATTTAGGGGGGTGAAAAACTTGTAAAACAAAGTCACGATGGTTATATCACTCTGTGGCTGTAGCTAATGTCACTGAATTTCACATTGTAAGCAAAATATATGTTATATGTATGTGTATATATGTGTGTGAATGCATATCCTAAAGAACAGGGTCTGATGAGCAACTGTCATGTGAATGAACAAATAAATGAAAAAATTAATGGATGTATAAATACACACATAGATGATAAGCAAACCAAAAGAATACAATATGCTAAATTATGGACTTGGTAGGAGAATTGCATAAGTCTAACGGGAATGATGACTGACAATTTACTATAAAATGTTTATTGTTGTTGTTGTTATTGTTAAGTGCCATTGAGTCAATTCCAACTCAAAGTGACCCTGTATAGGATTTCCAAGGAGCAGCTAGTGAGCTTTAATAACTACACTGGGGTTTCCACCAATGTTGCAGTCCAGTGTATTAGCCCTGTTTACAGATGATTATAATAATCATTAGCCTGCAGCACCACACCAGGACCCCATAGTAATCTTAGCATATCCATAATTGATATTATAAGAAATCTAACTAATTTTTGAAGAACAATATCACCTTTTCTTTGTGACTCTATACAACAGAAGCATTTACCTGTCTGAGTATCTCGATTAGCTTGATTGGGTGGGATTCCTCCAAGGGATATAGTAAGCACATCAAGACCACCAAAATCCTGAGTCGGGTGGATGATATCTCTGTTAAATATTCTGTCAACAGATAATACTGTGGCTGTTCCATTTTTTCCAATTAGGAAAGTATGCCAGTGACCATCTGCCACATATACTTCAGGAATATTTCTCTCCACTTTCCCAGCGACTCCTGCATCTGATGTGAAATGCACTTTCCCATTCTTAATCTATAAAACATATTAAATTCAGTTAAAACATCATTTGTTTTAATTAAATTAATGATTAAAAGTTTAAATATGGATCAAACTAAAACAAATACATAAGCTGACATGATTAGTTGTACTAGAGTATGCTTACACATTTTAGGTATCGAGTGATATTTTTTTATTTAATTGTTTCAATAGTACAAGGATTTCATACGTTTACATCTACATTTTCAAGTTGCATATTATAATGGAGCGAATGCCCATTTTAAGATAAGTGACTTATACCTTTCTGTGATTATTAATATTTTAAAGGCAATTGTGAGGGTATTTTATTAGTCAGTTTAGTAACTGGCCCATGAAGGTGGATGTTGTGTGCTATGGAGTTGGTCCCAACTCATACTGACCTGTATAGGGTTTCCAAGGTTGTAAATATTTACAAGAGCAGAAAGTCTAATCTTTCTCCTGTAGAGCAGCTGGTAGGTTCGAACTGCTGACTTTGCATAGCAGCCCAACTCATAACCCACTAAGCTACCAGAACTCCAATTGGCCTATAGTGATAAATAAATAAATATATATATACATATACATACTGAAACTATTTGCTTAAAGAAAAATGAAATATTTTGCTAAAAATAAAACACTGTTGGAAAAATCAAGATGACAATAAATCTTTTACCTCTCAATTATTACACACAAGAATTTTAGGAAATCATACTTATTATTTACATTTTGGGGATGAAAAATTATGATGAATAAATGGTAAGCTCTTAATTGTTAGGTGTCTTGGCAAGTCTTTCTTTTGACTTGTCTTTTACAATTTATCTGAATGCTGTTTGGTTTCTTTTACTTTGCCATTAGAACACTGGGTAACAAAATGCTCCTACTCCAGTTTCCAGCTACCAGGTTTCCAGTATCCTGAGTAGACAACTTTAGAAATGAAGTAATTTATGAGGCAAAATGAACATTTGGTTCAGAGAGCATAATCCAGTCACTACTGCCAGACATAGCTGGTGCCTTGGCAGGAGGATGACATGGCACTATGCCTCAAAATATGGGAAAGAAGGAATGGATCAACTTATTTTGTCACAGTGATCAAATGCTATTTCTATATGCAACAAACATCTGGTAGAACTAAAATCAGTCCATTTGTACTTTGTTGAAAATATACTAATACATTTACAATTTCTACAAAGATTGTAGTTAAGTGCAGTCTAGTCAGTTCCGACTCATAGAGACTCTGTACTGGGTTTTCCAAGTAGCGGCTGGTGAATCTGAACTGCCAAATTTGTGGTTCAAACAGATCTTACTGTCCAGTACTTTATGCCACAGTGCCACATAGTATTGTTTAATTAAAGTGATCTGTAAGTAATAAAATGTTTCAATTTTCAAAATCAAATAGGGGAAAAGTGAACATTCTAGTTAAATGATAATGTTTCATAGAATGAATTGTGTCTAATGTAAAAACATCTTCTCTTTGGCTATAGCCAGAGTACTTTTTGAAGAGAAGCACTGAGAAGAGGTTTCTTCCTGTTTTCCGCTCTTCTCCTTCTTGTTGGCCTTCCACTTGACAAACGTGTGAAGAGTGAACATTTGTACTATTTCATGGGGGACAGTCAACAAGAATATGTTGTTGTTATTAAGTGCCATCAAGTTGGTTCCTACTCATAGATACCTTGTATAGAGTTTCTGAGGCATGGCTGGTAAGTTTGAACTACTGAACTTGCAGTTCAAGAATATGAAAATTCCTATTATAATATTCATTTTATCAAATGTGCTTTCCTTCTCCCCAGTTGTACTCCATCAAACACACACCCTTCCTAACTTTCAAAGCATCAAAGCCTCACGTTTCTTTTTGGCTTGGTGTTATTTTTCTTTTCTCCTCCATAAAGACTGAAGTAAGAGAAACCCTATGTATCTTTGTTCTACTGTGTAACACATTGAGGGAGTCACCACAGATCAGAATCAAGTTGTTGTTGTAGTAGTAGCTGTAGTTGTTAAGTGGCATCAAGTGGTTTCAATTCATAACAACCCTTTATAGGCTTTCCAAGGAATGACTTGTAGGTTTAAACCACCAACCTTGCGATTAGCATCCCAGTGCTTATACTCCAGTGCTAAATCAGGACAACAGTAGTAATATTACAGCCCCTGAAAAATTCCTTTCCACCAGTATCTTCAATCCTGAAAGCTTCTATATGAATGATTTTTTTTTTTTTCCTTCCTCTTCACCCAGATTCATGTGTGTCTGCTCTGGTAGCATAGTGGTTACGAATCAGCCTGCTAGCTGCAAGGTCAACAGTTTGAAATTACCAGCTGCTCCGTGGGAGAAAGATGAGGCTTTCTGCTCCCATAAAGATTTACAGCCTCAGAAACCCTGTCAGGGTTGTTATGGGTCAACGGCACTTAACAACAACAACTCTGGAGTCCTGGTGTGGTGCTGTGGGATAAAGCACTGGACCACAACATCGGTTTGAACTGTAGGGTTGGCAGTTCAAACTCACCAGCCACTCCTCAGAAACCCTATACAGGATGGCTATAAGCTGGAACTGACTTCATGGTACACAATCTCAACCGCCATCATCCTCTAGTTAAGGAGCCCTGGTAGCATAGTGGATTACGAGCTGGGCTACTAACCACAAGGTAAGCAGTTAAACTTCATCAGTTGCTCCGCAAGAAAGAGGAGGCTTTCTGCTCCTGTAAATATTTACAGTCTTGGAAACCCTGCACGGGGCTCGCTATGAGTCAGAACCGACTTGGTGGCACACCACCACCACCACCAGTATACTCTAGTTAGAGATTTGCCTTCCTTTCCTTTCCATATCTGATAACCATCAAAGAATATTTCCTTTAGTGTGAAGCTCTCATTTTGAATCCTTAAAATACAGAACCCATACAATATTGATCTATTTGTGATGAACTTATTTCACTCAGCATAATGCCCTCCAACTTCATCCACGTTGTGTTTCACAGATTTATCACTGTTCTTTAACACTGCGTAGTATTCCATTGAAGTCCTGGTGTGGCGCTGAGGGTTAATGCGCTGGACTGCAAAAGCTGTTTGAACTGCAAGTTTGGCGGTTCAAGCTAACCAGCCACTCCTTGGAAACCCTATGCAGGGTCACTATGAGTCAGAACCAACTTGACAGCACTTAATAACAACAAGTATCCTATTGTGTGCATGTAGCACATTTGTTTATCTACTCTTCCACCATTGATAGGCATCAGGTTTATTCATCAATTTGTTCATCAATGTATTTGTTCTTTTTTTTTTAATTTACAGGGTTTTGAATTTCTCATCACAAATATACATCATATATGTAGCCCCACATGAAACACACACAGGGACTTCAAAAAGTTCATGGAATAATTCCATTTTTTCTGAAGCCCATTCACAAAATCTATGTATATATACATATATATGTATATGTGTGTATGTATGTAGA